AGAGACGAGGAGGATGAGCACGGCAGCAACGGCAGCATATCAGGCAGCACAGGTGGAATCTCGTATCTGGCTCTCAGAGAGCTCGACTCGGGACAGTCGGAGGGAGGATGGGGAAGCGCGAGGCAGAGGGGAGGAGTATGCGAAGGGTCGCGCGAGGGGAGGGAACTGCACCTAAACACCCTTGCATGAACGCTCGCTCACTTGCGCGTTTTCCTCATCTACCGGCAGAACGCGTGTGCGTTTCACCTCGTCTTTGCTCCCTCGCGAGTGAGAGAGAGAGAGAAAGAGAGAAAGAGCAAGAGACTCCCCATGACTCTCGCGTCCCTCCCGCTCCTCTCGCGCCTCTGTAATAATGTGCTCACATATTGGAGTACCTGAGAGAAGCACCGACGGGAGGGCGGGAGGAGACGAGAGGAACATAGGGAACGGCGCTGAGTACGAGGGGAGGGAGTCCGGTGAACCTCGAGGTGGACCGTACCCCGTGTACGTACGAGCTGGATTTGCAGGCGTGTATGCGCGCGCGCAACATGCCTACATGCCCACGGCGGTAATAAGAGAAAATAAGTAAAACCCTAAGGTACGAACCGGAGGGGGCATAGGGCGGGTTGGCGGTGCTACGCGGCGCAGTGAGGAAAGGAGAAAGAGAGAGAGGAGGAGGAGGAGTGAAGAGAGAAGGGGTGAAGAGAGGCAGAGAAGGAGGTGAACCTGTTCCCGAGGGAGTTCCTTGACCCTCGGGGGGCACACTCTCTCGTGAGCTTTCGAGAGACGCGAGAAGCCAACGGAGTAGCCACCATAATGCCCGCCGGCTAACTCGGGGCCCTCGAGTAAGCGAGTCCTCCGAGACGAGGAAGCGAGACGGAGACGGAGAACGGGAGGAGGGCGGAAGGTACAAGCGCGAGCGAGAAGAGCGACGTACCTAGTAGTAAGGAGAGAGCGAAGGACGGCAAGACGGAATGAGAGGGCGAGAGATAGAGAGGGACGGACGAGAATGAAGAGACTTGCGCGCGAGCGAGCAAGAGAGAAGGAAGAGAACGACGGATGGACCAAGCAGCATCCCACTACTGATGTTCGTCCGTTCGTCCATCCGCCCATGTGGACCGCGGTACACCATACTGCTGCGCTACCACACCGGGTACGTCGCCGGATTCAAGAGACTGCCGCCAGAAGAGCGGAAAGAGAGAAGAGATGCAGCCCCGCGGTGTTGCGCTATACCGTCCGTTACAGGCTCTTTCAGTCGAAGAGCGTCCCGCCGCAATTCTAATGACCGCGTTAATCAAACCTGGCGCGGGCGTCGTCAAATTTTGTCCCACAGAGTATTTTCGTCATTCGAGCCTTGCTTCTTGAACATTTCTATCGACCTTGCACTTTCTTGTCACTAGCAATACTTAACAGTTTGCCAAAAATTTATCTCCAAACGATTGAAACGCATGATCTTGCTTCAATAAATCTTTAACCATTGTATAGATACGCATAAAATAGTTCAAGATTGCAGAAGTAGCAAAATTATTCTTCGTTCATCATTAAATAGATTTCACTTGAAAGAAATTCATAGCGGAACCAATAGATGATGCTTGCTAATTTAACAGAAACCCCGCGAAAGAGGGGACTTTTCTCTAAATCAAAAAAATTGCCTGCACAGTTTTCATCGCGACGATTTTGCTGAACGTCATCGTTTACGTACAGATAATTAATTTTCGAGAAACACGCGACACCGTACGTATCAATCCACGTGCGCTTATAATTTTCCGATTAGCAGACGTCGCGCCGCGTAAAGGTGACGTGCGTCGTGTGTAATTCCTAAAAGAAGATTAGCGAAGAGGATTCTCATTGCGGCGATAATTTATAGCCATTTAACTTGACTCGGCTTCTTCGCACGATACTCCCGACACGCGAATTACGTGGAACGGTATATACTGTATGTATATGGGGCAGAAATTCAATGACGATCGTCACGACGCGACAGCGATCTCTCTTTCGCGGGGAGCCGTAAGCCCGCTAGCCACATAATGACGATGGACACGCGACACCACAGGATTTATCCATTATTCATCGTCCAAAATCTTTCTCCGTGAATACATATAATTTTGCCTCGCCAGCCGGAGGAGTCTACCGGGAACTCACCTCCGACTCGATACGAACAACCGATCTCCGATACGATGGTTATTAGCGACATTCAAACATTTTGTTTTTTCCTTTGAGACGCGATAGTCAATTTGCAAGGAAAGTGACCTGCCGAATGTTTTGTAAGCCCTTGAATCCAACGTATCTCCGCACATTGATGCACCTTCGCGTTTCTTAAGGTGGCTCCTGCACCAAGGATCGGTTAGTGTGGGATTGGAACCCCTTGAAAAGGGTCCAAATCTGGGACCGAAACGTGGTTTTTTTTTTCTAAACAAAAACATTGGCCAGTGTAGGCCGTTTTTAAAAAACTACATATCATTGGTTTTAAACTTACTGGCGGTATTAAATTTATTTGTGATTCATTTTTTTGATTCAACAGCATCTTTTGTCCGTGCACGTGTGCAAATATTAACATTAATTTTCACTTAAGAGATTATTATTTGCATATGTGTGTGCGCGTACGTGTGAATGCCTCGCTTTAACGTTTTTCGCGTACTTTTCGCGTATGGAAACAGCGACTCATTAATCCCACAATTGCAGGGTTGACAAAAAACTTTGATTTTTTTGTTTAAGACAATGTTTTTTGTTTTATTTGTGTTTTTTAGTAAAGTAATAAAAAACATGTTTTAAATAAAAAAACAATGTTTTAAACATGTTTTAAAGGAGCAAAAATAGTTTTAATTTGTATGAATATTTAAATGTTTTGCCAGCGTTACATTATGTATCGCGGATGCGAATCAGATTGGGATTACAGAACGAGATTCAACAATTCACAGCAGCGCTTCCAGACGAAAGCCGCTGTAGACAGGCAATAGACACCAGGAACAGAGAACAGAAATTAGAAATCTTATATCCATGCAGAATGGACAGTGACATAGACAGTAAACGCGACATTTTCATCACAACGGAAATTCTGTACCTATTGCCTCTTGCTAATTAATCATAGTATTGGAATTTTTAAATTGTATTAAACGAAATTTGGGTTAATTTTTGTTCCAGTTACCTGTTGGCTGACGGAAGAGACTCAATTGCGCACAGTACAATTGGACACGTTGCAATTGCGCACCGTGCTATTGGACACATAATGGTGCGCACAGTTCTTTTGCCCACAGTTCATTTGGGCAAAAGAACTGTGCGCAACATTATGTGTCCAATAGCACGGTGTGCGATTACGTGTCCAATTGTACTGTGCGCAAGTGAAGGCTTCTCTTGTCTGACATTGTATAAAGATCATTAGTTTTTTTTCTAAAATAATACATATATTGAACAATACATCACATATAGTAATTGCGATGTTTTAAACAGTTTTAAACAGTAGTTTAAAACTGTCTAAAACAGAAATGTTTAAAACAATGTCTATTTTTTTAAACCAGTTTTAATCATACAGTTTTAAACACATTGTTTAAAACTTGCCAACCCTGCTGACAATTGTCATTGTGACGATCGACGATTCGCGACGATTCCACCGCGGTACCCGCTGACGAAATGTATACTGTTCTGGCGCTGGCACGGCCGTTCGCGGCTGGATGGTGCTCCAGATTCGCGAGCCCTCGCGAGCAGCTCGGCTCCCGCGAAATTCGTATCACGAAGAGCGCGCCTAGGCCACGCGTTTCTCGCCTCGGTCGCGGGAGAGAGAAGAGGTGAGAATACACAATCCGCGCGGCGGCGTTAGCGGCTCCGCGCGATGCCTGCTCGTGATGAAACCGATTGTAAGACTTATATACGGACGTGCGCTCGCTCGTGTTCAGCCGGGCCCAGCATCCTGGGCGCGAGGGGGGCCGCAAGTGTACGTCGCCGTGTAATGCCTCATAGAAAGGCAAGAGAGAGCAAAGAGCCCTCGAGATGTTCGCGCGGTGCGCGCGCGCGCGCGCGCACACACACCGGCACCTGTGCGCGAGTGAGCAGCCGCGGCCCGATGCACACGCACGTGCGCGCGTACACGAGGTGGATTTGCGCTAGAGCAAGGAGAAAAGAAAGAGAGAGAGAGAGAGAGAGGAGGAGAGCAAGAGAGAGAGAAGCGCATCCACCGGCGAGCGTGTGTAAAGTCGCGATGCGCGATGCGGGAGGAGAAAAAGAGAGAGGACCCCGTAAGGATGCGAGGCAGAGCGCGCGGGGTACACGTAAAGGGGTCCTCCGGTGCTCCCGGAGGTGGAATGACTCGGGAAGGGGGGGCTGCACAGAAGGGGGGGGACGAGCCGCGGTGGATAGGGGGGAGGCCCGCAGGCCGGCCCGCGGCTCCGGCTCAGTATCCCCGGAGCGAGCGAGTCGTGTACCCCGCGGACGTCGCTGCGTTTCCGTTCTCCAGCGTGCACACGCGATTAGAACCGCGGTAGGAAACGGCACACACACACACGGACGCGGCGCGCGCACGTCCCATGCGCGCGTACACGTGCGCAACACACATACGGCTACCGAGCGGCGTGCGTGCGCGCGCGCGCGCGCGTCCACGCACACGGCGGGGGCGCCGTGTACGCACACGCTAGCGCGTACGCTGGACACGTGCACACACCTGTTCGCCGCGCGTTTCCGCGGCGGCGCCGACGACGGCGCCCGGACGGCCGGCTCTCCCGCGGCTTCTCGCGGCGCGTCGCGCGTGTGCGCGAGCAGTGTCACGCGTTTCGCCCTCCCGACGTTGAGCGCCCGCAGATATCGCTCTCCTCCGACGAGTGACCGCGGGATTGTCACGAGCGATCTACGCCGCGATAAAGGAATTTTCGGTCTTCTCTTCTCGAGGTGCCGCAACCGATCCTCGCGAGGATTTCCCTCCGCTGCCGACGCGCATCGGGGATTAATTGACGCGCGGAGCGATTGGAATGGAATTGTCCGGTAGCTCGAGCTCCGAACCGCTCTCGTCTCTCGCACGCCGCGGCATGTCTGCGGATTGAGGAACCATCGACCGGCGAAAAATCAGTGTCGGACCCGACGGTAGCCGCCCGCCCCGGGGAGGAAGAGTACAAGCGACGCTACCAACACGTGCTGGACGTCGCCGACTTGTGCGCCGAGGACAGCAGGTGTCGAGTTCTGGAGTAGCGCGCGCGCGCGCGAGAGATCGCCCTCTCCCGCCCGACGAATTTAAAAGGCAGACGAATCGCGCAATTAGACGCGATTAGTCTCGCGCGAGGGATCGACGAGGCGGCGCGAGAGGAAAGGAGCCCGTAGTAGCCGCTCGTGGCCGGAGTGTTTTCTCGGGAGCGAAAGGTACCTGTCGCGAGAGAGCGGTCATGCGACGGAGCTTACGCTCGGAGTCTCACCCGAGTCCTCGTTGAACGTCGTCCGCGCGCGCGGGAAAGCCGGGGATTCGAGGATCTTCGGCGGACGAGACGCGGCGGGGAAATACGCACGCGAGTCTGCCATTCGTTCGCCAAGTGTTGACGAGTGTTTAGTGCTCAGCGGATAGGAAAGAAAGAGGAGCGTCCTTCCACGCGGAGGACACACGCCAGTGGATATTCGGTGTTGGTGCGCGGACCGGAAGGATCTGCGGAGTGCAGTGTGCCGATAATAGAGATCGATAGTATTCGGTGAGAGTGGTGAGAAAAAGAGGGAGAGAGAGCGAGCGAGGGATACGCAAACGGCGTGACGACAGGACAGCGGAGGATCCACCGAGAGGAGTGCTCGAGGGAGCGGCCGAGGAGTAGCAGCAGGGGATATCGATGATATGCGGTAGTCGAGGGATTCCCCAGGGAGAGACATGAGGGCGGCCGCCACCTACGTCCTGTTCCTTGCCCACCTCATACAGGTACGTGTGTCGCTCCGCACCTCCCGATACACCTGGAGGCCCCTCGCGTGCCTCTCGCCTTTCGAAACGGGTGGAAGGAATCGTCATGAAATGTCAGGCGATAATAGCGATCCTCGCCCTCGGGGTGCAGGTACAAACAACTCGTGCAAATGCAAACGGGCGAGTCGGAGAATAGATGAATAGAACATTACGTAGGATTGAAACGGGCCGACGATGCAGGTGGCGATATGCGGCGGAATGAAACGTAATGTGGTATTCCAACTTGGACAATTGTAGTTTTAACATTAAGAATCGTTTGACGCCAGCAGACGAATCAACGTGATTAAGCGAAGTTGATCGACTGGCTATGTGTTTTTTTAAACACAGAAAATTTGGAATTTTAATACAAATTGGAGAATATTGAATCGCCAGTAGTTGGTTAACAATTGGGTCGAATAATCCGACACAACTGGCTACAGGAAACTTCCTTTGTTAACGCAACGTTTCGGCCATGGGTTTTGGCCCTTTTCAATTGTATTCTACAGCTTCCAGTCGGCGTATGGCACGTGGTGAAATGCCATTAGGCCCACTGGAGTTGTAGAGACATTGTATCTCTCTAGAAACGCGCGATTACTGAATGGGCGCAGAAATGAGACTAAGACTTGGTCTCCTAATTGTAACTTTTATGTTCAAGCCGTGCGTATATTTCGCAATTTGTTAAGTAGACACGCGGCGAGTCTCAATATTAAATCCGCAGGTCTATAATCGACCGCTTTATCGTGACATGAATCTAATAGGGTACGACATGTTTATAAAAAATCATGTAGTCTTAGAAAAAGAGAGACGCGACTTTATGATGCGCGTATTAAAGTGAAACCTCCAATTGCCACGTACAACCTGGTAGTGCAAACTCCGTAGCCACTGTAATATCTTTCTCTGCGGGCATTTAAGCCGGCATTTAAGTGCCGTAAAAAGCACAGCGTGCGAGAAGATCACGGTGCTATTTGTACTAATAATCAGACGTAATCGGCGCGAACGCGCACTTTTTACTCGCCGCGAACGACTGTTCTCGCGATCGTTAAGACACGATTAGATTGCGTTAACGTCCCTACGTTTGCTCGATCGTCAGCCGTGAAGCTTCGCGCAGCCGAGTGAAAAGCATTCCCTTCTTTCGCCACGCTCGGCGACAAAGTGATATCAGAAAAAGGAGCCAGCGCGGTGCGGTCCAATGGGTATTCGGACAGGTGGTGCAAGCGTACAGTACGCAGTATACGTATATATTGTATACCCCCGAGGCGTACGATCGTAATAAAAATAAGCAGTTGTGACAGGCCATTACGATACACATTTATGTACGATTGAACCCGAGTCTCTTTCATCGCGCGTCTATCAAATGGGTTTCTTTTCTCGCGTATGTAAACAGGTTTAAGTGAAAACCTCTAGCGTTTATTAATTAAATATATAGAGATATAATTGCTTGTCTACGGCGAAACTCGCGCGCTTGATCGCGAAACACAAGAGATCGACTGTATACATAATTCAATGGATTATCGACGACTCCCGATATTTCTGCGCGCTTGTACGTACGCCACTATTGGATCATAACAATGTAACAGAAAATACCTATACTCGATTTATGAATATACCTCGTCTCGTTATCACCGTGATTTACGCAAGATCTGCTACTATCGCGTATCGGAAGTTAATTTGCAAGACAGCAGCGGGATTTCCATACCAGTCTCCGCGACCATTATAGATCATTGCGATCTCAGCGCGCAGCGTTGGCTCCTTTCAAATGCTCATAGTTTACCGCTTGCATCATCGCACAAGGTGCTATCGTGCGTGATGCAGCATCTGCGACGCGAGGCCGTTCTCACGTACGTGTTTCGATCTCACAGTCTTCCGCCTTGGGGAACGATCGATGATACAAAATTGATCGCACAAAAAATCGTGGATTTTATTGCCACGGCTATTTCGATCTAGAGTTTAACATTTGCGCGTGTGACACGCCAGATTTTGATGATCAGTAAGTTCAGAAAGAGGGAGAGAGAGAGAGAGAGGATGAGAGAGGGAAAGCCAAGTATATTTTTCACTAGCGAACACAATTAAAATGCATGAAAATAAAATTTATAATAATGTTTACAATAACACCACGGTTTAGCTCAATTATTATCTCGTTATTGACATGAATTATTCCTGATATTAAAAATAAACGGGTAAACGTTTCATAAATTTACAAATGACGTATAAACACTTAATAATCCTTTTCTCACGTTCTTGTTGCTTCCGTCGCATGCTTTTTATTGCTCCCACATACGTACCGGCGAAGCCGGCTTTTGCATAATACACCCGGTTACACGATTACACGATTTAGTTGATAGCTAAATTATTCGCCGATATTATAAGCGTATAACGATGTTTGAATATGTATTACGAGAGCAATTAATTAATTAAGCCTATCGCATTTCTCAAAATCATGTTGGTCTCGGTGCCAATGTGTCAAAAGACGATTGCATATTAATGACTTACATTAAAAAATCGTTAGCAAACTGCTCTAAAGTGGAGCGATTAGATAAATAGAAGCGAGAGAGAGAGAGAGAGAGAGAGAGAAGATTCATTCGATGCAGTTTATTAAGTTACACATGCTCTTAACGTGATAAGAAGTTCCTCCGTCATTTTCTCACAGCTTGTAAAAATTGCACTTGATACATATATGCATATTTACAGATCATTATATTCTCCCCTTCGATGTTAAATAACTATAAATAAGTTCGCTTAATAGTCATCAGGGAAAAGCGGGTTCTTATCCTTGATAGAATTAGAAATGTTATTGCTAGGAAAAAGTACGATTCCTCGCTACACCTCGGGTACAAGGACTGCTTAGAAATGCGCTTGAGTTTCACATCGTAAAAGGATTTTATGCCGTTTCGTTGGCTATCGGTGCGTGATATCGGCATTCGCTTTTAATTAATTATCGGCGTCTCTTTACCTCGCGATCGTCGGCTACGTCTGTGTACCGCTGTGATATGTCGCTGGACGACTAGTGCTATCTTAACGCTCCTCTCCCGCGAGTTGCGCAAGGATAGGAGGGCGGCGCGCTACGTCCTTCTCCTTAGTTCTCAGCCAGGGGAGATTACGCACTTACTGCGTAAGTATAGTTTTTTTTTTGCGGATGTTGCCCCGTCACTCGCACTTAATAATTTTCTTACTGCGTCTCTCCGTATTGTGCGCTACCTCGGAGAACTTCGTCCAGAAACGATCGCGCAGTCTTCGTTCGTACGCCGCGTTTTTCCATCCGCACGGAAAAAACAATGTAGCTGCTGTAGCTAAAACTTAGCAAAATAGGGACAGCTAATATTTTAGTTGTGATAGCTCAATATTTTGCTACTGTGCCAAACGGTTTGCTGTCGTAGCAAAATATTGAGCTATCACAACTAAAAATATTAGCTGTCCCTATTTTGCTAAGTTTTAGCTACAGCAGCTACATTGTTTTTTTCCGTGCGGTAGTCGCCGCGTATACGAGATATACTTTTTTTTTAAATCCGGACTCTATAGTTAACATTAAACTGTACCTACACGGAAAGCACGGCCGAGGCTAAACTAACTAAAACAAAAATGTCAGTGTTTTCTTGACCATACCTGGCATTTTCTGTATTATTCAAAAACACCGACGTTGTTAATTATCGCTGGCGACATTGAAGAATTCTTATTATTAATTAAAATAGAAATGTTGCCGTACAAATAGTAAGAGCATCTACATTGTTTTGTGTTGCAACATTCACTAAGTTTGCTGCACAAAACGCATATAGTTGTCTCCACTACTTACCGTACCAATGTGGATATGACAACCATAGATATAGCTGTCCCAAATATTACTATTTACTGGGTTTGTGCCAGCCCTAATTAAACATGTGGTAACCCGAGGGGGATACCGCTGACCAAAATGTTGTACACCATTTGCCCAGTGGGCATTACTTTATCTTATTCTCGTATTTCATCTTATTCGATCTTATTTAATCTTTATAATGCCCCAGCAAGGCCTAATGCCCAAACTAATGCCCAAAAGTGCCCCAAAAAAAACCCAGTAATGCCGCAAATTTGTACACCACAATGCCCTCAGCGGTTTCCCCCTCGTGGTAGCCATATCGGTCTCTCCGTGTATGTACGTGTCGAATATCTATTTGGCAATGACCGTAGACGCTGAAATAACAACGCGTGATACGAGCCGAATCTGCGGTGTTTCACGCAAAATGTATTTCAGAGACAGCGTGCGTTAAAATCAAAATAATTACAACTTCTTCTACTTCTTCTCGTAGCTATCCCGTTGTTTCGCCGTGGTACCTCGGAAAAGAGCCGCAATCACGAGCGAAAATGATTAAATTATAAATATCAAATGTAAATTGCCGGGTTAAAGTATGATGCGTGTGTTCGCCAGCGAGGAGGCAAGCAAATCCACGCTTCCGTAACGATCGACAATTTCGGTCGAACCCGACGAATAATGGGAGCTTAGGAGCCGGAGCGTTGCCTCGCTCCGACCTGGAGTTACCGGGGGTCACCTCCTCTCTCCCGGCTCTCTCTCTTATAAACGACTTTCGAAGAACGGGCCGCGGTAGAGAAGAGGGTTCCCTCGCCGTCCGTCCGTCGTTCCCTCGATGATTTCGACCTAGTGCAATTAAGCCGCCGCCGCCGCCGCCGCCGCCGCCGTTGCTGCTGTTGCTGCCGCGTTGTGTGTGCGCTGCTCTCTTTCAATTACAGTCCGAACGGAATTACCGTTATAACGTGCGATGCCGAAAAAAGTTCCTCGAAAGCGGTCCGAAGAAGCGCATACCCTGCGTCCGTGGACTCGTGCTCGTGTGTGTCCCTTCGACCGTGCCCTTCCGCGTGTTCCACCTTAAAAGGGAACGTCGGACTTGAGGGAATTTCTATTACGTCGAGACGTCTCATTTTTCGACTAGGAAAAAAATTGAGTAATTACCCGAGTCGCGCAATCTTCGCCCTACGTTGAACCTTTAATTCTATTA